TTATCTTATATAGTTGTTGAGATATATGCCTACAAATGTGCGCAAAGTTGGTGGGGTGTCCACTCGCTTGTAATGTCCACTCGCTTGTAAAACACATTATATATTTATAGATTTCTTTTTACCCGTTCTCTATCAACTGTATGCGTTCGTCAAATCCGCAATTAGAAATCTCTTAATAGTAGCACTCCTGCTAAGTCCTCTGTTCTTACAGGGCCTTCTTTTACGTAATCTAGATAACTTTTATTATAAGAAACAAAGGTATTTAAAATATACGTTACATTATAGCAGCTATTTGTGTCTGTCTGTAGTTAATAGTTTAAAGAGAGTCAACTATGTTTAGCATATGGTTAATAAGAAGAAACCCTGGTCGTGAGTCTAGCAACTTGTACTTCGTTCATGTCGTCCTGCCTCCCTTCAAGAAATTGTTTGCCTGGTATTTGCGCATGTTTAATTCATAATAGAAACTTCAAACATGATTCTATTGTTGAACCACAGTTACATCGATCAACCTACCCTGATTCCGTCGCAATTCCGAAGTGGTCGCTAACCCAGGTGCTGATTCTCTTGTGCACAAGGTTCCGTTTCCCCACTCCTGAAAAAATTCGTCTCGCTTGGTCGTCGGAGTAGTAAACCTTGTGCTTTTTCTCCACAAGTTTCCCCCGCACGAACTTCGATTCTGTCATCTCGTCTTCCCCAGCTTCCACTTCCGTCTGTAAACCTATACCGACACGCCCTAATCTTCCCGCAAGGTCTTGCGGCTCCGTAAGAGCGACGGTTTCCACCAACCCGGTGTAGAAGAACTTGTCCATTCGCTTTCGGTTCTTGTTACGTTTCGACTGGTAGCCCCACGTATTTTTTCTTGCTCGACCATACCCTAGGGTAGGTGAAGTCTTTCTGGAAAGGCTTCAATACCGGTATAGGGGGTGCTGGAGCGTCCTCCCAGACGTCCTTCAGCTCAACTTCGCTAGCTTTGTGCAGCTCATGCTCCGGCGCATCTATGGCGTTCATGTCGCCTCCGACGAGGCCTGCGATGATTCCACACTGCGCAGCTAGTTATCCTTTGAGCAACGCTGAGATCATGGCTAGTTAGCCTGGTCGGTATGCTTTTCCCGGCCATAGTGACTCCAAATGTGTTGTACAAAGACGAAGGGACTCCCCCGATCGAGTGTACCCATTGGAAGTGGATATCGGAATATCAACACATAAGGCATCCCTCCCCATATCAGTGACAAAAGGCGCGCGGAAGCAATTTACCTTTCCCAGATACCTCGGTATCATCATGAGAGTAAAATACGGTGCCGCCATCCAGTAGGGAACTTTGAGGATAAACGAGTCACCAGGAATGTCAATGTAGAGAGAGGTCGGGGTTGCAACATTGGTGAGAACGAAATTCTGTTGAGCCCATGGGATCTTCAGAATGGCCTGAAGGGCTTGGTGACTAACTTTTTGGAGCATTATGACAAGGTTGGCCGGCGTCGTTCCAAAGAGTTGTTCCAGATGCTCTAACGCTACAGAAGCGCGCTCAGCCGGGCCCGGCCCCGACCACTGAAGGTTCCAGGACACAACTTTGAGAATGCTGCCACGCTGTAAACAACTCCCACGCTGGTTCTTCTCAAGCGCGACCCAGCTTGACGATTCAGAACGGTATATTTGTGGTTGGAGTGACTGAGGAAGAGGCGGTTTCTGGGAAATTGGTTTTGGTGGTAGAAGACTTTTCGCGTCCGCATATTCCCAGAAGAGGCGCCTTTCCGCCGGAGTGAAGTGATCTAGGGAACTGATGTGGCGGATGTTCATGGTTGAGCTGAATGTCACTGACGGGGACGCTAGCCTTTTGGGAAGGGTAATCATACGCATACGCAACATCTTGAGGCATAGAGGGCAAGCCGCTGAAAACAAGAGTTCTAACTTCGCCATTATCAGCTTTCGTTCTTATAGACCGAGCTCACAATCGAGCGCCGACGATTGCATCACCTCTTAGGTTTGCGTTATGCAGAGAGTGGTTTGCCAAACACTGCGGCTGAGCTAATCGCGTGGTAGAAACTTTTTGGGAGAAAGGAGGACCTGGAGAACTTGGTAAGGAGCAACAGATTATCAGGACATCCCACAAGCAGCGCCTGTCTACCCAAAGCCCTCCTTTGGTGTTTCGGTTCAAACCGTCCATTCCACTCTCCTCCGGTTTCTACGCTTTTCTCTGCTAAGAAAACAAAGACTCCATTACACACAGATAGGAAATAAGAAGTTATACCAGTCCTTAACATTAACTTTGAGAGTCGATGTTAGGATTGTAAAAGTCTTTTCGGTCCGCTGTTTTTGAAAACATGGTTCCAAGTTGAAAAAGTTGGGATGAGATCCGATATCCGACCCCCAAGTCAGCTTCCCAAAAGATTGTGGCCTCTAACCCCTATCCGTCCTACCATCCTTGTGAAAAATCCAGCAAGGCTCCGGGTCGTTGAAATCCACGGGATGTGGGCAGATAGATACATGCCATTCACTGTTGTCTTTATTGCTCAAATCCGACATGCTGAAACCGAGTTTTCGTCTTATTGCATAAAACACATCGGCCAAGTCCCACCAGAAGGGCGTTTGACGCAAAATGACAAGGAGTACGACTAGCCCGGCTGTCAATATCAGCAGCCCAAGTCCAACCCTAAGGATTATTGCTGCCAGTTTTCCTCGAAGAGCTTTCGATGATGGAGGTTGGGTGGCCTGCTCAGAAAGTTCTGCGGCATTGGAGATGGCGCTTGTTGGGCCTCCGGGGCCCTCGTCGGGGGCCTCGTGGAAGGTAGCGTCAGAGTGACTTCTCATATCCATCGGTTTTTCGTCAAGCCTGCATATTCCCATGAGGAAGTCTAATCCGCAGAACCGACTGAGAGAAGATGGGAAATTCCTGTGATAGGGTATCACCGGGGAACAGCGTCGAAATGCTCCCAGGTTCTTGAAGCGCAAATCCAAAAGTTGGACCGGTCAACGAGGTAGGCTGCGTTATGAAAAGATTGAAAGGTAGTTGCTTCACTTGACGTGTGTTCGTCGAGTATTGGGGTTTGCAAATCTTGAAAAGGTGCGGGTGTGAGACGTGGCAGGTTATGCGGCACAGCAACACGCATCTGCGTCACAATGGGAAGGGTAAGCAGGAAATAGGCCCCCTTCAAGACCCAGCCAATTAAAATGGACCATGAAGTGCGTCGCCATATTGGCGCATCGTCTTCGACTCGGCCAGGAATTCAACGTTGTTTCGAGTCGTGACCCGCTGCCAATGAGGACGGGGACCCAGTGTCTTTTTAATAGAATGTTTCGGCCATCTTCCGTCCGCAGCACTTTGCCTCGCCACACCTTTTGTTCTTGCGGGCAAGCCCGAAGGCCCATTATGCAACGAAGGCTCACACACGTCTTGGTTGAGAAAGGGACGTGGACGCATTCCATAAGGGTAGAGATACTCGCTGTGTTCAACTCGTGTGCTTTCAAGTTTCGAAGAGTTTTTGGAGTGTGTGGATCCCGTTGAGTAGTGGGTCATGATGCCTAAGTGTGTCCCCGGTCTTAGGAGTGGCACTGTGCCTTCACTCTCAGACTTCCCCATCCCTCTGGCACGGAAAAGAGACGTTGCTTGAATGTCAAACGATTTCGAAATCTGGCCTCACGTCAGTGGTTAAATACTTCGATATGGATGCACAAGTGGAGCATACAACCATCTCCTTGATTCTCAGACAAGATGCGCTCAGACTTCTACCAGATTTCGATTTTGAATATATCGCTATTGACTGTGGCAAGTACCGCATTACTTAACGACACCACGAACAATTCTGCGAGGTCCAGTAGAGACGAGGGTGGTCTAGGGATCAGTTATGTGAGCATTCATTACGAAGGTTGTGCTGGTAGGGACCCACGAACCGGCCGTCGGAAACGTGAAGAAATTTCACGCTCCTGGAACGATGCCATGGCTTTGGCGAATGCAATCAAGCAGGTGGACACGAACAATGATATAGCCGCGTTTGACTGTAAGTATTCTGGGACCAAAGTTTAGTGCCCCAACGGTGGGTGATAACAAGCATATGCTAACATTAAGCCAGATTTCGGCCAAATATTCAAACCGAAGGTGCTGGGGAAAAGATCGTAAACGTATACAAAAACGTGGCAAGCTTTGGCGAAGGATGGTTCGGATGGCGCGTCAATGCCTTCTGTCAACCTCTCGACAAAGAACCGGACTTTCCAGGAGACTGCAACCCGAACACTTTCGCATACCAATGGGATACGCTTTGCGAAAACGGACGCTGTGAAATTAATCGCGATATGGACAATTCATACATTAACATCATGTTCTGCGATCTCTTCTTCACACTCCCGGAATTGTGGCAGGTAATTGAGGATGGGAAACGCGCACCGAAGGAAAAGAAATATCATATGCACACATATTGGGATAATAAGGGTAAGAGGAGCGTACAGATCAGGGATCATTACCAGCTAGCTGATAACAAATCTTTCTAGGCAAGCTTGTCCTCCACGAGCTACTGCATGCCGCAACGGTGGGCGGACATGCGAATGATAGACTTCTGATTGATGATCTCAGGATCAAGGTCAGGAAGCACAACTTCAATGGACCTGACGAGTTTCATGTCGTGGACGCCTATGGACCGTTGAATGCTAAGATTTTAGCTCGCACTGTACGGAATGAAAACTGGAACACATACGTAAGTATTTAACCCATCAGACGATTTGGAAAAAACCCAGGTCCGCTCTCCAACGATGACAGTCTAGTGTCCTTAGTAGACTAACATACCTTCAGGTAAGGCGAAACGATGATAACTGGGCTGCGTACGCTACAGGTGAGTGTCCTGTCTATAGCACACATGTGGGCAGTGTAAGCAGCCCGTAATTTACATCTCGACACACATTTGAATTTTCAGGAAGACTCTCTGATTGTTTCAGCAAAATATATACAGAACCAAGTTGGCGTCTATCCGGTACTTCCGTTAGCGGACGACCATGCATACGTTTCGGGAACCGACGATATTCCAAACACGTTGTTCCTCATTGACGGCGGCAACTACACCATCAACAGTGAAGTCTACGACCGTGACACGCTATCCAATCAATTAGACCACCTGAGTAGCGAGAACGAGCAAACAGTGGTGGAGGATACGACCTTCCGGCCCGCTTCGGATTATCCCGAATGGTACACCAGAAGAATTCAAGAAGCAAGAGGTGGAGAACTCGAAGACACGCCGGACGAAAACACACCAGCGCCGGGGCCGGAACCGGAACCGCACCACGAGCCAGCACCTGAACCTCCCAAGCCAACACAAAGCCTGCAGATCTTCTGGGAGAAGCAACCTTTCAGGATAGCAACACCTCGCGGACAGCTATCCATGCCGAAATGTTGGTGGCGCTTCTACGTTGGCGAAGGGGGTAAAGGTGTAAATCCTTGCAAGACGAAGCCCATCGATACCAGTTTCGAGGGCCCCGATCGAAAAGAACCACCGTCTGTGGTTGATGGGGAGTGGACTTTCACTATTCCAAACCTAGGTGATTGCAAGTTTCAGGGCATTGGAAGGGTTGGGGAAGCAGGAGACAATGCTTGGTTGCATTGCCCGAACAGACCTGCTATAATGTGTAGACCCGACGAGAGACCACTTGATAGGTGTTTCATTGACGGTAAAGAGATGGCTAAGGCGATATCATTCTGTGAATGGTAAGAGATGGTCGACGAGCATGGATGTACTGCATCCCGGTTGGGACCTGCTCTCAGCAGACTTTCACATCAATTTCACAACACTTACAGCAGCGAATTTTAGGTAGATATGATAGCGTTTCTATACATACCTCCCGTTGTGGACATGGGATAGACATGCATATGCTATTAACGGCCCCTCATCTGCTTCGACTTCCATTTTCTCGTCGCCACGCACGATGGCTCGCCTGTCGGCGGTTTCTTCGTATTCTCCGCGGATGTTTAACCGGGTTGTTTCTTGGCTGAATTGAGCTGTTCGGGCGCACCTTGCTATTGGGATTATACGTGACTCCAAGTTCATGGAGAGAAGGGAATACAAAAACTCTCCATCCAAAATAGTGCATCCTCAGTGTTACCCAACAACACACCTTCCTGGGCCCAAACCCCCAACAATCCTGTCCACCTCGCCCTCTCACACCGTCTTCTCCTCACCGAGCGCCTTCTCTTCCACACCCTCAATATGCTGCTCCGCACCCGTCGTCTCCACAACCTTCGCCGCCTCGACCCCCACAACCCCATCCTCCGTCCCCTCAACCTCCTCCTCAACCCGCACCGGCGGCCCCGTAAACGACTTCCTCCCCCTAACAAAATACCACACGACACTCACACTCGCAAACCCCGCAAACACCACACTCGCATAATTCATCGTCGCCGCCTGCACGGGCAAACTAACCGGCATACAAAAGAGCACAACGGCAAGACAGATCCACGCAATCATGGCGATATTAATCGCATACCCGAATCTCCCGAGGCTGAAGCTCGAATTCCTGACGGCACGACGGCCCCGGAGGACGGAGATCAGGATCGGCATGCCGTACGAGGTGGAGAGGCAGATGGTGGCTACGCCCGTGAAGCTGTTGAAGGCGGCGGAACTGCCGAAGTAGATGAGGCCGAGGAGGCAGTCGACGAGGGTGGACAGGACGAGCGCCCAGAGGGGGATGTCGAAGCGTTTGTCGACGCGGCGCCAGATGCGGGAGCCGGGGATGGCGCCGTCGCGGGCGAATGCGTACGTGCATCTGCTAGCCGCCGTTAACGCACCCACACCTGCAAAGAACAAGATGCCCAGAATCAGGAAAAGTAAGCCGAACCCGCCTCCCGCGGAGCCCGTGACGGTTTTGAACAGGAGGCCGATCGGCTGGCCGTTGGCGACGGATAAAAGCATGGAGACGTCGGGGAGCACGAAGAGGATTGGGATGAGGTAGATGATGCCTGTCAGGCCGGCGGCGGCGACGCTAAGGACGATGGCTTTGGGGACTTCGTGCTCGGGGGAGTGGACCTCTTCACAGAGGGCGGCGACCATGCCATACCCCGTGAGGGTGTAGGCGGCTTGCAGGAGCCCGACGAAGAAGGCCCAGCCAGAGGGCCTGGAGTGCGTTAGTTGCGGGTGTTTATGGAATGAAGCAGAAAGATGCGGGGGGTAGATAAGAGAGACATACCATCCACTTGCGCTCGCGTCGTAGTGACCGAAGACGAAGGCGCCGCTGCGTCTGGTATCCGCCATGCTAAGAAGCGTAATCAAGATGATGATGACGCTTGCACCGGTCCAATAAATGCAGATCTTGTTGATCAAATCGAGATATCTGGCGCCCCATATATTCACGGCCATGCACACAAGCATGACAGCCCAGAACATCAAGATGGTCTGATACTGATTCGGCACGAAATCCTCCTTCCAGAGCGTGATTGCCGAGAGAATGAGCTGCCCTCCGGAGAAATTGATACTCAGCGTGACCGTCCAGTTACCGACAAGGGTTAGCCAGCCTGTTACCCAAGAGGCCACCGGGGCGTATTTGCGGGTGGACAGCATGGCAGACCAGTAATAGACGCCGCCAGCGGTGGGATAAACAGCACATATTTCTGCTAGGGAAGCGGCAATGCATAAACTGATAAGAGAAACAAGGATCCAGCCGTACAGGACAGTAACGGATTGGCCGTCGGTGAGTGTGATGTATAACGTAGTGGACAGGCCAAAGGGGACCGCCATGATGGCGAAGCTCCTGGGACATATTAGCGATCCATTCTCCACGTTTACATTCCCTGAGAGAGAGAAAGAAACTCACGAATCGGCGTTGCACTTACATTCCCAGTATACTGAGCATACTAAGATTCCTGGGTAACTCGCTGGTATACCCCATTTTCTTCAGCGCCGCATCTGCAGCGGCATCCGCACTAGCATCCTCCACCGACCGGCGGCGATGACTCCCAATAGAACTGCTTCTTCTCCCCATAGTTGTAGTGCTGGTACGCGTCGAGAGAGGTGTTGGAGTGCGTTGAGTTTCTATTCAATGCATCTAAAATAACATTGTCAGTTCTTATCATCCACACCCGACACGAGATCTGATACGCCCCAATGAGGCAAGCCAAGCACGCGAAAGCTCTGCCACGGTTCACAATGCCGTAAACCAATAAACGTGGAGAAAAGGAGGATACGCTACCTATGTACTAATGTTACTCACAGTACCACGTCGCTGGTAGCGAGCAGCGTGTCCTCCAAAGCTGCGGTGTCGACGGAATAGAGATGCCGGAAGTTCGCGTTCGCGTGCGAACCAGAGAGACGGGAAGATGGTGTAACGGAAAAGACCGACGTGACTGAGAGAGATACTGTGTAGATAAGGTCCGTAGCGAGGGGTCCTGAGTCTTTACCGAGCTTCCTTTCTCGAGCAGCGTTGAGATAAGCCTCATGGGTCTAGTTAAGGTTTAACCTTAACGGGATTCTCCACGCGGACCCCGCGTGCCATTGAGCCAGGGTAAGTCTTGGTATTCTGGGTTTAAACACACCACCATCCTTCAAGCAGAAGAACTTTTGATGAAGGAAGCAAAAGTTTAAATATTTGAATTCATTCGGCAGGTGTCTATCCGTGGGGTATATCGATGCTCAAAAATGGCAGATCCATTCATGATTTCCGCCGCATAAAAGACAGAATTGCTCTGCATGATTACCAGATATTTGACAGACACGAGCAATGAGCCACTGATTGCATGTAGGAGGGAAGGAAGAACACCACATTTGGCTCAAAGGGCTCGAACTCTTCGCCAAAGGGACCGCGGAGAAAGGTTCCCTCAAGGTGAAGAGGATATATCCATCGGATCGCCAGCACCGTTCGCTTCAGCCTCCTGCACCTCGCCCATCCCCACCTTGGGCAGATACCATTCCATAAAGTCAATGCGACTCCCTTCGCTGTCCTCTTTGAGCAATTCAATGCACTTCTCCGGTGTAATGACTTCGTCGATATTGCAAAACTTTCTCTGCCATTCGGCGGATTGTTCGGAAGACGGCTCGGTATGGACCACGAAAAAGTGACGGTAGCTCTTGCGCATCGCACACACCTTCTTCGCCCAATACTCCACTTGTTGGTCAATCGCTCCAGTGGGCGATGAACTGAGCGCAGCGAAATAGGCTTGCGACTGGTCGGCAGGTTCTGACAAGATTGGTCTTAGGTCGACCAAGCGTGGAATGTACGAAGGTTGCACGTGGTCCATGAAGTTGAGCTCAGCTAGATCAGCGAAGTGTGCAAGCAGTGAGGCTCGTTCCCAAGCTAAGGAATTCGAATTGCCTAGCGATTCTGCCTCAAGTGCGTCAACGCGGTCGAAGGCCGACTGTATCAGGTCCGGCCGAACTGCAAGGCGCCAGAACAGCGAGCTGTAGTTCTTGTAGTCCCAGGGAACCGACGAGTCCGTTTCATTCCTGCACTTGTTGACCTTTGTAATAAACAGGTTCAGGATGTCGAGTGCCTGAGATGGCGCGTTCTCCAGCACATCGTCGGTGATGAAGATGATACCCCCCAGAGGAAACACCTCTTCACATTCGTATTTCGTTGGGTCGACGCGGTCAACGAATAGAGAGTCGTAATCTAGAGGGCTCTGGCACCCATGAGACCATACACGAAGCTTGTTTCCCCGGAGTGCTTGACCGAAACCTGGAATGGCCCAGTACCTGTCGAATTGCGGCGGTGCTATGATGATTCCTGAGCCTCCTTCGTCGAGTTTTCTCTTGAAATAATCCCATGACCCTTCCACGTCCAAAGTATACACCTCAACGTGGTGCATTAGCAGCCAACGTCTTACTAGTTCCATTTCTTCCACTTGTTCGGTTGGATGAAACATCAGCAATGCCTTGCGATCCAGGCAAACGCTTTGATCTATGCGGTTGGTGAACAATGTCGTGAAATCGAGATTGCAGGCCTTTTCGATGACCGATTTCATGGCGGAACATGAGATCAGCGGAGCCGCAAGCGTTGCTGGCGACTGGACTCTGGGACCGTTGGAGAGAGGCGTTGAAATCATAGCTGGTGCGGCGTCTGCAGACTCACTTCCGCGAAGTGTGGTTGCCGCAGACGTGACCCTGTGTAGGCTTGAGAAGAAATTTGGAGGGGCTTGACAACCGATTTGGAGCGGCCCAGATAATGGCGGCGGTGGTGAAAGCGGAGAATGAGGCGGAGGGGATTGCTCAATGGAAGGGGGCGATTGCACTGCAAACGGTGGGCTTGGCGTTGAAACGGTCGGACCAGAGCGTGTCTCAGTGGTTGCAATCCGCCTAGAAATTTCAACTGCCTTGAGGCGGCTCTGCTCAATGGCTGAGTTGGACGGATCAGGTTGGCCCATGAAGGAAGCACCGTTGGTGGCATCTAGTGGGCTGATGGATTCATCCATCGTCTTTAAGCCATTGTTCCCAAATTTTGACTCCAATCGAGAAGTCGATTCAGTATTGTCGTCCATGGAAGGAGAGCCCAGAGGAATGGTATTTGGGTTATCTGGTATAGCACCCTCTTCTTGCATCCACAACGCTTGCAAACGCTTAGAGCCCGGGGGTTCTGCGACCTCGTCTCCTTCATTATATGCATGCCGAAATTTACACTGAGCCGCTGGCTTCGAACAGTGCCCATGATGAAACCAGAAATGGCACGTCTTCGCTCCAGGATCCTTCCAAGATGGTCGCCGTACCAAACCGGGAGTGCTGGGTGATGGCACGGTGCCACGCTCAGCGGCGGGCCGCAAGGGAGGCTGAAACCGAGGCAGTTGCGTTTTAGGAATCTCCACAATCGATTTGTCCGTCATGCCTAGCAAGCCTGTGTTCCAATGCGCGTATAGACACCGGTCTGCCGACTTATCGCAGCCCATTGGTCCTATCATATAAAACCAGCAGGTAATAGGAGGCTCCCTGTCTTTGGGCTTCAGCTTGGAATTGGTGATGCGCTGACTGGTTTCGCGTAGAGGCAACATGTTCTTATCAATCTGTTTGGGCTCCCCACCATCTTTGGCTGCTAGCCATCCGGTATTCTCGTGAGCGTATCCGCATTCGTTCGCAGGCTTATTACATCCTTTTTCGGTTGCCATGTAGTAGTAACAGGTGAGTGGAGGGTCCCTGTATTTAGGGGGCACGCCTTTACCGAATTGGGAGACTTCCATTCCTGGCATATTCTCATGCCAGTATCTGCATGCGTCATCGCTATGGTCGCAATGTCCACTTCTCCAGTCGAGACAGATCAGAGGTACTTTGTGCGACCGAGCAATTCGTTGCTCTACTGAAGGGCGCTCCTCTGCGTCATCTTCGCGCCGTCGCCCATAATCTCGTCTCCCATAGGGATTGTCGTCTCGGCTGTCTCTCTGCTGAGTTGGCATACGCGCAGGTTGGACGTCATGGCGGCCGGTTTCAAGAGTTTCCGCAGTTGGTTTGGCAACAGCCACTGGCTGTTCTAGTGGAAATTGCAGCGCTCCAAAGTCGGGCGGGAGTTCACGTGCCTTGAACTTCTGGAAGGCGTGTCTCATCTTCAGCGTTCGAAATGCGACGTCGCCTTTTTTCCAAACCCTTTTTGCAGTGGGTTTATTTACTATGTTGATTCGCCCATTGGAGAGGTTTTTCTGATTGCTATCCGAGCCTGATTGTAGGGTCGGCGGATTGTTGTGGACCAGTGGCGAAGCAGGTGCTATACCGGAAGGCTTCGAGGCCTGATCGGTTCGGCGAGGTGCCGTGCTACGCGAATTTGTCGTTTCCAAGACGTCAGAAGAGCGGCCATCTCCTGGCTCAGTTTGACGGGCTGTTGTAGACCGCTTCCGCTTCCGATAAGCACTCGCAAGAGTCTCTTCCTCTTCACCGGAGCTTGATTCGCTTGAGGACGACTGGACCAGGGGTCTATTCCTCCTCTTTTGCGACTCAGGCACGAAAAGAGAACGAGGCTCTCCACTCGCCGATGGAGGAGAATCCGCCTTTCGTCTCTCCGATTCGAATGCGGGCTCCGCATTCGCCGCTTCACCTGCTTCATGCGCGTCAAGCGCCCGTTCGAACTTTTCGATATTTTTCTGTATGTACCGGTTGAGTCGTCTTGAGCCTTCACCGCCAAGCTCCTTTTTCCTCTGCTCCCAGTATTCCAGGCTGTTGCCTATGAAATTCTCTGGCGGCTCCCAGGTATCTCTAGTGACGAGAAATTAGTCGGTTCTTGTAGTGGGGAGCGCATCGGCAAGGCGTACTCATGCCATGGGTAGCCTTCCCATTTCACAAGATAGTATTTCTTGCCGTCTTCATCAGTGGTCATTTCGGCCAGGATGTCCTCCACGACCCACACAGCCTCTTCATCGTTATTGTCCGCCATGTTGTCCGCCATGTTCGAGTCTACGCTTAGGTTCAAGGTTTTTGCGAAGTTCAATTGGAATTACGTGCTCGGAGTGATCGACCTTTCATGGCCCACTGAGACGGGATGGAAGGACGTTAACCTGGCATGGAATGTACGGTGAGAGGCTCTCTGCGGGTGCGTCAATCCCCAAGCCCGAGTGGACGTAGCCCCTCAATAATCAATTCCTACGGTCTGCCTGTCATCAATTTAGTGCCAGGGAAGCTGTCGAGACGGTGAGAGCTCTATACCCCGTTAAGTCTGCTTTTCCAACCCAGGGCCGAGAAGGCCCCACTAGCGCGTCCGGGGTGTGACGCTAACTTAGCGTTGTCATGTGATTGTTGGCCGTCGAGCTTGGCCCGAGCGTCAGACACCAACGACCCTATCCGCAGCGACGACCTCGAAGGCAACCAAATAACCCACTCTGCAACTCACCTTATTACTCGTGCTGCTACACATTGACCACTTGGGGTGTGTCTGATATTCTCTTCTGGATATACACGACTTGTTCGCCCGTCACGACTCTACCTTGTAGCCATCCTCCTGGCTCACCACAACCATGGCGAATGATGAATATGACGTTCGTAGCCCCTTCTCCTGAACGTTCAATGGCAGAGACATATGCTGACCACCGTCCCAGTTCCTTTTCAAAGGTCCGCCTTCCTCCGCCGCGCTCTCAGTCACCTACTGACCCCCTCCAGTTGTGTTGATCGGCGATTCCGGCGTCGGCAAATCCAACCTGTTGAGCCGCTTCACACGCAACGAATTCAACCTGGACTCCAAGTCGACCATCGGAGTAGAATTCGCCACGCGATCCATTCAAGTCGACGCCAAAACAATCAAGGCGCAAATCTGGGACACAGCAGGACAGGAGCGGTACCGGGCCATCACGTCCGCATACTATCGCGGAGCGGTGGGCGCCCTGTTGGTCTACGACATCAGCAAGCACCAGACGTATGAGAATGTGACGAGGTGGTTGAAGGAGCTGAGAGATCATGCGGATTCGAACATTGTGATCATGTTGGTGGGGAATAAGAGTGATTTGCGGCATCTCCGGGCGGTACCTACCGAGGAGGCGAAGCAGTTTGCGAGTGCGTATTCCTTGTCTTCTTCTTCTCTCCCTTCTCGATGACCCTGATGCTAACTATTTCCTCCATCAGGTGAGAACAACCTCTCCTTCATCGAGACTTCTGCCCTCGACGCCAGCAACGTCGAATTGGCGTTCCAGAACATCCTGACGGAGATCTACCGTATCGTATCCAGCAAGGCGCTCGAGCAGGGAGAAAGCGGGCAGAACGTACTTGGTGGGGAGCGCATCAAGGTGCTCGATCCCAGCAAGCCAGCCGATGCTGAGGGCAAGAAGGGCTGCTGCTAGCCGTTGCGCAGCATCTCGATTGTCCTATTTGTACGCTGGAGGTCTCTCTGTTTCAGAACGAGCATCCTTTTGGTTGTGAAGCGTATCTGGAGGCGCTATGGAACTCTAGCGAACTCCAGCAGCAGGCTCACATTTGAGCGGCTGGCCGAGGTCGTTTGGCAGAAGTAACGGCCCTCTTTCCTACCTTCTGCGCTTCCGGGATCGGCTACGGTATGATGCACATTTTCGAGAATCCTTTGACTGCAACGGTCTCCTTGCATTCCGTTTCTCTTCGGCCCCTTTTGGTTTTCTTGGGTAGTGATGGCGCGTTGCGGGCTTAATATAACTATCTACGTATAGGCTGGCTGGTCCCACTCCAACGACTGCTGTATGATTGTCCGACTGCAATGATATAGACAGACCCTGGACGGCCGTCATTACACAGTATGCCTTGCAAAACCCTCACCCGCAACGCCGTGAAACAAACGTGAAATGTGGCTCATGTAGACTACAATCTACATAAGCGCGTGTCGTCGCTGCCCTTGGTCACAGAGAGCAGGAACGAACATGTGCACCGATTCGAGGTTAAGCGAGCGAATGAGACGCGGCGGGTGTCGACCAGGGCTGGAACGCAACATCGAGAGCGTGACATCAACGTGCTCGAATGTGTCTCTCCTGTGCCCAATTGCGACATTGTTACTCGATACCTGGAGCCGACCGGCCATGGCGACCTCCGACCAGCTCAATGGCCGCCGACCCAGCATCACCAAACTCCCTTCCGCCCCATCGCTCATGATGAACTCGCACTTCGCCTCCGTGGGCGCGGATGCGTCCAAGGACGCCTACGAGCATGGCATCCAGGTTATTGATGAGGACAAGGTGTTCAAGTATGCTTGGGAGACTAATATCTCAGTCGCTGTTCCATTTACTGACCGGAATACCAGCCAGAACCTCTCCACCTACCTCCACGTCGAGAACGTCATCCCCGCCGGTTTCAACTACCACCTCATATCCGTCTTCGGATCGCAGTCGACGGGGAAATCCACGCTGCTCAACTACCTCTTCAAGACCCAGTTTGGCGTCATGTCCGAGCAGGAACGACGGCAGACGACGAAGGGAATATGGATGAGCAAGAACAAGCGTGCGGCTGGGGAAAAGGGTATGGCGGAGAACATCCTGGTCATGGACGTCGAGGGTACGGATGGGCGCGAGCGCGGCGAGGACCAAGACTTTGAGAGGAAGAGCGCGCTGTTTGCGCTGGCGACGAGCGAGGTGCTCATTGTGAATATCTGGGAGCACCAGGTGGGGTTGTATCAAGGGGCGAATATGGGCCTGCTAAAGACGGTGTTTGAAGTCAACCTGCAGCTGTTTGTCAAGGACAGCAAGTATGTTTGGTGTCTACTGAGCTCGTTGGAAAGAGCCTCGCTGACTAGACCAGGACTATTCCCAAGTCTCTACTGTTCTTTGTCATTCGAGATCATATCGGAACCACGCCGCTCAAGAACCTGCAAAACACGCTCCTGCAAGACCTCTCAAAGCTGTGGTCGTCCATATCGAAACCGTCAGGCCTGGAAAACTCGCGCATAGAAGACTACTTCGACTTCGCCTTCGTCGCCCTCCCTCACAAGATCCTCCAGCCGGAGAAGTTCGAAGCCGAGGTCGAGAAACTGAGCACGCGTTTCAGGGAAGGGTACACCGACCCCAAGAAGAGCGGCCTCATCGACGAAGCAGACCTCCCCGTCTTCCTCCCCCAGTACCACAGAAGGATCCCCGCGGACGGCTTTGCGGTGTACGCTGAGAGTATCTGGGACCAGATCGTCAACAACAAAGACCTGGACTTGCCGACCCAACAGGAACTTCTAGCACAGTTCCGCTGCGACGAGATATCGCGAGAAGTCATGATCGCATTCGACGAGAAGATCACGCCTCTGGAAGACAAACAAGCCGATGATGCACGCATAGGTAAACCAACAGTGATCCCAGATTTAGGCTCCGTCATGAACGCCGCACGGTCCAAGGTCCTCAAGGAATTTGAAACGAACGCCAGTCGGTATCACAAGGGTGTCTACACGCGCAAGAAGGCCGAACTAGAAGGCAAAGTAGACACGAGGCTCAAGACGCTCTTCCAGAAACAACTCGCCGCAGCCCATAAATCCGGCATCGAGACCTTCAGCGCCGCCGTCAGCGGAGCCGTGAAGACGGGCCAGAAAAAGGGCGCAACCTACGACTTCGCCGACATCGTCGAAACGCAGAAATCCGAAGCGCTGGCGAAATTCGAACAAGAAGCGCAGGCCATTGTCGTCGAGGGCGCGCCCTGGAGCAACTATTCCCAGGAGTTGAATCTGTACAGGAAAGAGTTGGACGAGGTGTCGTCGCAGTTGCGCAAGGAGGAAATGCGGCGCCTCGCGACGCGCATCGAGCGCTGGGTGCGCTCCCGCCTGGACGAATTCATCGGCCTCGAATTCAACAGGCTCGGTTCCGGGCGCGGGGGGTCCGGCGCACCCGAGACGGGCGATCGCCCCGCGAGCGAGAAGGACCTGTGGGATCGCGTGTGGACGCTCTTCACGGACACGGTGTCGCAGGCGGAATCGCGCTTCGAGGAGCGCGCGAAAAGCTTCTCGGCGTCCAACGACGAAGTCGAGGTCGGGCTGTGGCGGCTCCGGAGGAAGTCGTGGGGGGTGCTAAGGAGCAAGATCGAGGAGGAGGTCATGGAGGGCAATATCCTGCTCAAGCTGCGCGAGAATTTCGAGGACCGCTTCCGCTACGATGACCTCGGTGTGCCGCGCATTTGGCGGCCTACGGATGATATCGAGGGGGCGTATACGCGGGCGCGGGAAGCGACTATGGGGCTCATACCGCTGCTCGCGCGGTTCAGATTGAGTAGTACGGATGCGGCGCCGCCGCTGGATGCGTGGATCGGCGAGGCGCCGGCGTCGGTGTCGGCTGCGGATGAGGACGATTTGGCGCCCATAGGCGGCGTGGATGAGGCCGAGGGGAAGAGCCTCGACGAGGAAATGGTCGTCATGAGTGAGGCCAAGCAGGCGGATTTGCTCGTCCGGTTCAAGAAGATGGCGGACGCCGTCTATGTCGAGGCGAAGAGGGGTGCGCTGGGCGGCGTCACGCAGGTCCCGCTCTACTTTTACGGATTGCTGCTTGCGTTGGGCTGGAATGAGATTGTCGCTGGTGAGTTGCTGCTGATTTTTGTCTCTGGTTACCGATTTCTCGTTGCTAATGAGATGGTTGAATAGTGCTGCGCAACCCTATCTACTTCCTCTTCCTCATCCTCCTTGGCGTCGGCGCTTACGTCACGTACACACTCAACCTCTGGGGTCCCATGGCCCGCATGGCGGACGCGGCGTCAAGGCAAGCCATCGATATCGGGAAGGAGCGTTTGAGGGAGTTCCTGGAGAACTCGGATACGGGGAGGCAGGCTATGGCTATGGCGAATGCGAGCTCGGGGCGCTCTGGGAGGGGAGACGAGGGCATCAGGTTGCAGGAGTTGGATGGGGATGGGAAGAGGAGGAAGGGCGAGGAGGAGGACTTGAGTGATATCTAGGGGTAGGGAGGGGAGGGGTGAGGTTGGGGTCAAGGGAAGGTTTGGTGGAAGTGCTGTTGGGTAGAAGGCGGAAAGTTGGATATGAGAGCAGAGAGGGGAGGGTAGGTGGTTGACTAGTTTTAGGACGGTAGCAAGCATTCCTGGATAGACGCAAATGCAGACTTGTTATTATTCTTTCCGACATAGCAAATATTGGGTTTATTTCCGGCATTACCCGTTGTATTCCACAGATGTGCTCTTCGCTCGTATGTCCTGAGCATTTCCTAAGCAGGAGTGTTGTAACCTCGCGGTCTGAGCCAGTGACAAGGCGTCTCATGAGACGTCTTGAACAAACGCTACGCTGCCTGAGCAGGTTGAAAGTTCAGCTGCTTGAATGCATGTCCTCCCGGTTAACCCTAATCACGCGGTTATACGGCAACTCTTCATTTGATTGCACGGATCATCACTTGGCCGCATCGTAAACACAGCAACTAGGATGCCCCAAAAGTTGTATTAGAGATACATATACCCGCTTTTTGATAGTCCGTGATCTGACCATGACGGCTCCCGCCGACACTGCCATGTGTAGTAGAGATTAAGCATACACCAGAAAACCAGATATCCGTCTCCGTCGCGTCCTTCGCAAAAAAGGAAACCTCGGAAGACCCTTCAACAAGCAATGATACGTGTCTGAGATTAGCGCATACGAATCCAAAGGGAACAGAGCAGAGTCTCCTCAACTCCGCGCTCGGAATATGGTCGACAAGTATTTCTCATCGCGTTTCAACTTTCGAAGGTCTGCGGAGATGCAAAAGACAATAGGGGAAAACTTTTCCAGGTACGTATACTCGTCCAATCGATACTTTTGGTTTTGAGTGTTATACCAAACCGAATCGTTTGAGCATGGTAGGGAACATCACAAAGCACGCAAGGGTGCGGATCGCGTTTGAGCCGACGATGGCCTCTAGGCGCGGAAGGCGTTGTAACCATTGCTGCGCTGAGAGGTCCCATAGCGGTTGAGTTGCATGCCTGCGGGCGGTCCGGGACGAGTAGCCAAGGCAGGGTTGCAGCAAAGCATGGCAACGCGTGAACCATACTTGGAGCCGCGGAGGGAGACCATATGCTTGCGGACGTGAGAGGCGACAAGCTCGCGGTGATGAGCGCTGCTGTTGGTCAAGATGTACTGGATCAGGTAGTTTCCGAACTGGTCACCAGCAACTGGTGGGGTTGTTAGCACAAGTCGAGCAAGAAGCTTAGGAAGGATAGATTTACTGTCGATCAATGGCATGCGGGGACGCTCAGGACGACCCTCACAGACACGCTCCAAGTAGCGATCAAGGAACTCATTACCTCCGATCTTGAGGCACTTCTCAATCACCTTGGAAGCGTACTGATCCATACTGTACTCGGTGGCAAATCGCAGAATGTGCTCAATCGCGCGGTTGCGGTCAGCGGGAGCTCCGTGTTCACAAATGTGCTGAATGCACCAATTGCCGAATTGTCCATGGGCAATGACATCGATGCTGGCGAGGACCTCATTGATGCAGGGGCGCTGTACATCTCGGTTAGCTGTATCGTACGAACTGTGAGCAAAGTACGCACCTTGTCTTCCTCAAGGCAGTTCTCGAAGATGTTCTGAACGACCAAGCTACCTGTCTCACCAAGCGCTACTTCATGCCACATTCCGCGGAGGGCCTCATTAACATATCGCATGATCTGGGGAGGAGAGTCGCTCCAGCGCAGTTCGAACAGCTTCTGCCAAACATGGCAAGCGTAACGGTGAATCACAGTTTCGGGGATGCGGCGGAGGAGCTCATGGACCATGGTAGCTTTGTATTCCTCCGGAACAGCGTCAAAGGCCTTCTGGACGACGTGGCAACCGAAAGCATCCATGCTGAGATTGAGGGTATTGCCGCGAATGGCTTGCGCAATTGCAACGATCTTCAGATAAGATCAGTATGAAGAGAGACGTCCAGATTCTAAGATTTCATACCTGATCCGGTGTACCGTGCTCAAAGCAACGCTGAACGAGGAAGTTCCCGAAACGATTGATCATAAGTGGGTATGCCTGAGCAATGATTGCCTCCACAATCTCGTACTTCTGCTCCGGCGTGCCGACCTTTAGCTTCTACTAAGATGTTAGAACGATATAAACCTAACTGCACTAGTCATCTTACCTGCTGCAGGAAAATCGAAGCTTGCTGGTCATTGTTGCAGATAATCTTGTCGACAATCCACTTCCAGTCGCAGTTGGCATTACGATCAAGGAGACGGCGATAGTTCACAGGCTCAACCGGGGTGATATAACGACCAGACTCGCTGGGGGCCTGTTATAGCATCAGCATTGAATTGGACGGGACGCGCGATGAAAGGTCATACCTGAGAATTCCACGGGGTGGAAGGCATCGTCTCAACACTGAATTCAGCTGCCTCGGGTGACAGGCGCGTTCCCATGTGCATACCACGTCCATAGGGAGTCAAAGCCGCGGAAGAGCCATACATGCCAATGGGCGCATGCATGGACGGCATCGTGGGGCTGACATTCCCGGCAGGGATCAGAGCATTGTTGTACCCAGTGCAAGAATTGAAGCGAGGCCCATCGAAGGCAGAGCTTGGGCGACTAGGGGGATTGGAGGCTAAACCACCGCGAAAGTTCTGATCCAGCGGGAAGTGAGTGGGCTCGTTCAAGAAGCCGTTGCGACGATAGCCTGACTGTCCAGTGACCGGGCGAGGCTGGAAAGGTTAGTCACATCAACATTACGAATGGTAGCTGCTCGCAGCAGACTGCTGACATACCTGGATCGGACCGAAGGTCTGATTGTTGAAGGGTACTCCCCAACCGGGGGTATACTGAGGCTGCCTGCCTGGGTTGTTCCAGATGGCCGGGCCAAAATTCTTCGGGTCGCCCTTCTCAGACATATTGTCCTCTTGCGTCGGCCAAACATCCAGACGTCCTACGATGGGGCGCGTCGAAGCGTTGAAGCGACTCTGCAGTTGAGTAATGGTCTGCTCGCTGACCTCACCCTTGTAGTAGTAGTCTGTGTCCGACGAGGAAGGGCCCATAGCATGATCAAATGTCGACTTGATTTGATTTGTGGTGTGAAGCTCTTGATTCATCCGTGTAAGCTCGTTGCGGGCCTGCTGCAGCTCATCCTTGAGTCGTTGAAACTCAGCAGTGTCCACCACCATGGCGCTAGGAGGGAATTCGTCGGTGGCTGGAGTAATGGGCACGGAGCCATTGGATGAGTGGATATTCGCGGCGTCGGACCCGAAGCTCGAAGTAGGGGTGGGGGTAATGGGCGACGACAAGTGCGGGACTGGTTCGTTGAGACGTGAGAGGAGGGCGTCGACAACAGACGGGCCTTGGCCTTGGGGGACTTGCTCAACCTTTAGCTCCTGATGGTCAGTAAACTCGGCTTATTTGAGGGGAGAGGAGCGCCGCGTACCTTGTATGGGTCGACAATGGTGGCATCAGAGCAGGTGGAGGCATTGTCCTGGCCTTGGAGATTGTGCTTGCGAGCAGACAGATTGAGGGGCCGCTTGACGCCCTGCAACTGCGAGGTCAATGATGGCGGCCAGAGTTGGATAGGAATTTTATATGCATAGCGAGAGCCTACCGCTCCCAGAGAATCAGGGGACGAGTTGCCACCAAGATCGTCAGCCATGTTGAAACGTCCCAAGGTCTTGCGAGGCGTTGGAGATCCGTCGGAGGTTAAGTTGAGACTCATGTTGGAATGTCCTTGACGATTGACGAAATGAGGTAGATGGAAACCAGGTACCGCCGGTAACTTGGAAATGTCGCAATAAGATGCAGGTACTCAGTAGCCGAGATGAGCTCACTTGTTGGACCGAGCTGTAGGTGAACTGAAGCTGATCACCTAGTTGAGGGCGTAAATTGACAAGTAGATGCAGACGGTTGAAGGGAAACAAGAACAGAAAGAGAAGGCCGGTGAGATGCAGATATATCGACAATAGCCCGCGGCTGCCAGCTGACTTGGGTGGTAACCAGATATTAGGAAAGAACAGATTAGATGGTGATATGTGGGCTAAATGGTGGCAAGACCGGCCGTCCCCCGAGCAGGAGGAGTGGGCGTGTTGTCGTGGCGGCTGCTGGATTTCTGCGAAGAGGGAGGGGAGATCGAGGCAGCGTAGGCGGCGATGCCAATCTCGGCACGATTAGATCGAAGCGGTGATATTGGAAGGAACACGGAGCAAATGTGAGGAAGTTGGAGAACGTGAGTGAGGAGGACGAGAGGGAGAGAAGAAGGCGAGAAGGGAAGTTGAGGGGGGGAAAGAAAGGTGGGTGGGCGGGGGGAGGTGTGTTTTATAATGCTCTACCGGAAGGAGCGGAGAGGAAGGCGCGACAGACTCCCGCCACGCGGGCAATGACGCGCTCGAGACGCGCAAAATATTTTCTCAGAGGAAATTGAAGGGGAGGTGAAAAAGCGGACACGCGGTGAAAGGGACTGAGGTGAGATTGAAAAACTGCTGCTTGTTTACCTGTCGCGTTCACAGACTGCTTTGTGACGTCCTCACGACACCACCGACGACGGCGTTACACTCCAGTCATGGTCGAAGAAGCCCAGAGCGAGCGCGCCCTCCACACCTTTCCACCGCGAGAGCTCTCCAAGGACTACGAAGTCGGGCTGTCCCACACCCGTGACGGTAGGGACAAGTCGTGATGCCTGCAATATCCCCTCCTCATCCGCACCCCAGATCACGAGTTCGAGCCTTTCACCGTCCAGCGGCCGCAGGAATGCCGCCCCCAGCTGAGCCCCCTCGTACTTCCGCGTTCGTCCGGCGTGATCTCGTACAGATACACCGCCCTCGTCGACCAGGATGGGGAAGTTACTGCGAAGGCTTGGCCAGGTGTTGCCGATTGAGACAGAGATGACGTTGCCTGTACACCCATCGTCGACGCTGCTGAGAGACGCATTGCCCGATACAACGTTACAATCCGCATAAAAATACTGGTGCAGGTTTTGGGACACCTGTAGGGCAACGTGAGCGGTCTGCTTCCCCTGATGGCGGATGATGAAAGGGCCGTGGGTCCGTAGGATCGAGGTTATTGAGCCCAACTGTCTTCCATTGCGGTAGGAACCATCATCTTTACCCTCGAGAGTCTTTGAGATATGAATTAGCACTGGATCTACGCTTTTTCATTCGTGCATAAGAGCTACATACCTGCCATGAGTCCTGACTTCTCCTGATTTGCACGTGATTGAGCTGATCAAACACCACGTCATGTCCGTCAACAGTAACTCTGTCGAAGCCCATGACTGTGGGATCCAGCTCCAGCCTCAGAACATTCGATGTTGTAATCATGTGTCCTTTGACAGTGAGCCTGCCGTACTGTCCCGGATCCTCAAGATTCAACACACGAATTCCACCTTTCGGTCCCGTATCTCCCGGATCCCCAACCACCAAGCTAAACTCTTTCAGTCGCCTTGGAATCGACTCGTTACTCGCAACCTGTTGTCGATAGAAGCCCTTCAAAGGCTCCGTCGTCATCACCGTATCCCACCAGTGACTCTGGCCAGGAAATTCATGGTAGCTGGAGTTGGTACCCGCTTGGATCAATTGTTGGCTCAGAAGTCTGGAATTGTATGCGGGGACGTTATCGTCTAGCTCGCCGTGCTGTTGGAATACAGGAATGCCCTTCGCGTTTTCCATGAGCATCTCGTGCCGGTAGCTGTTCAGGGAGGCGCTGATGACGGAGGTGCGCCGGGGATCTGCGGGTTGCCATAACTCATAGGGGACGTACTCTGGCAATGATCAGTAAGAGGAAACGGATACCAGGAGGAGAAGCATGCTTTGAATTGAGGCGTAGCCAGACAAGGGTGCTGCCGATACGAGCTTATCTGGACGATGAGTGAGAGCGTACCAAGTCCCTTGGCCTATCTTGATCAGCAAATGCATGGATGACCGTACTTAGAGCTTACCGCCATTTGAATGCCCAGTCATGACCCATCGATTGGTATCTACGCCTGGGCCTTGCCATGCAACATTCGTCATCCATGATGGAATACTAGTAACTGCAGCTTCCACATCCGCAAAGCCCCAGTTATCTGACTGTTGTCAGCGAGAAGAACAGTTAGCAGGAACAGAGTAAAACATGTACTCACGCCAATCGTCCCCACTCCAAGGCGTAACGCCCGTAGGGAACAACACCCACGCACACAGATCAGAGACCGGATCGAGAGCGTGAGCGACCAGAGGACTATCTGCCTCAAGGCCCGCTCCATGATTGGCGATGACAACTGGAAGTCGAGTTCTGCCAGGAGAACAAGCAGCATTTTGTGCTGGGGGACGAAGCATGGCATATGATACCATACCGCCGGGATGGAGATAAGTGATTTTGTGCGGACTAAAGAGAGACTTTGGGGACAGAGGCTGAGAGACACTGAGGGTTTGAAGCTTTCCGTCACCATTGTTGGGTTTGTAGATAATATTGAGTTCAAGAGAAGAGACGTTCACATGAGGAAGAGAAATATTGAAGGAGAGAGGACGAGTCTGGCCTGCCACAAGGATTGTTTCGGAAAAGTTATAGAAGGTGGAGTTGTGCTGGAAACCGGTCAATCGCCGTCTACAACGTGAGAGAGCTGCTTGGGAGAGTGGAAGTGTCGATATAAACGAATATCTTACTTCAGAAGACTGCACACCTACGATCACTAGATCGCTCTCACCACTGTTCCGAACAGACACTGAGGCTAGCGGTGAGGCTAGCTTTCCGTGTACGACATCTGCCAGCAACACACCCGGCCGTGACAGCTCCAAACTCCCAGATACTTTCTCCACGCCGACGAGGACGTCGATGGTAGGCTCGTTGATACCCCCAAATGCCCGAACATCTCTCCAGAGACGGAGATCGATCTGATGTCTGCCCGGGGCAAGATGAAGGACAGGAGGTGCCTTGCGGAAGCTGTAGAAGTCTCCGCCAAAGTAGTGGACACGGTCAACCCAGTACTCGGCGATGGCATCAGTATACAGAACGACGTGTTGGGTGTCGTTCCCTCGGACTACAATATCTCCTCTTGCCCACGCTTGATACTGCACCGCTGCCCAACCATAGACGGTCTTGAGGAAGTCCCAGTCCACATTGTCGTAACCAATACTCAAGGACACATTAGCAGACGTCGAGCTACTGGTCGCGTGTTTGGCCTCAACAAGAGACCACGTCGCAGTACCATTGCTGGGCAGCGAACTTCGGAACCGCGCATCAGGATCATAGCGAAGCTGTCGAAACCCTCCCAGACACTCGAGCGGATCTGCTCCCCACGAACCCTCTACGGAAACGGGGTCAGCTCCAGTTCGCGTCACGCTGCACACGGATGAAGGTATTGCGTGCCTCGTGTTCCAATCTGGAATGGTCCCAAAACCTGCCATTGAGAGCTGATTGCAAGCGGGCTGCTCTCCTGGCGCCCGTCTAGCCAGACCATGCGCCGGCCCATACTGGGACAATCACCGGCGACACAGGAGGCGTGCAGACATGAGAGGAAGAGAGACCACAAGGGCAGCGCGAGACGGGACGAAATGGACATGACGGCGTGGGCCTGGCGTGGGCAAGGTGGAGTCCCTCGTGGCGCCTCAGCCGATGTGTGGTTGGAGGGGATGGCGGACTCCGCTGCCAAGAATTCCTGCGCCTCATCACGCTTGCCCGCATTAGGACAGTCCGAATTTAGCAATAAGATTGAAAGAAGTACGGAGTATTGCGAGCAGCATCACTTCAAACACCTGGATTGTTTCTCCAGTTCCTTCGCCTGTTTTGTCATTTGGGTCTCCCTACCCGACGGGTCGAATCCTTCTGTCGCACCGAGCATACCGCCGCGCCCTAACCGTACACCACCGATCCTCCTCGCTCCCAAAGGGAGACATCGCGAAGACACACCAACCTCCCCTCCACCCTCCGTCATCATTGCCATGGCCTAGATATAGTTTTCGACTGCTTCTCCCCTAAGCATACTGGAGCCCTGCGCTATGGCTTCCCAGGACTCGCCCCATGCCACGTTCAAGTTTCCCGCCTTCCAGCCAGATCTTCTCCCCACGCATGAAGAGGAGCCGCTGGGTATCAGCTCGTCCCGCACAGCCAGTCCCAGTCGCGCGCCGCCGAACGGAAGTGCTTTGCCCGACCGCTGGCAGCCGCGCAAGGAGCCGAGATATGGATACATGAATGGGTCTGCGCATTCTACTGCCGGAAGGCATGGAAGACAGAAGAGCCTTGGTGAGGCCATCAGGACGATACGGACACGGAAAGCAAGCGTCAGTCAGAATGCGCACGAGATTGCAGATGCGCTGAAGGCGCCCCTTTCCCCGACACTCATTGTACGTTGCGCAAATCACTTGCAAGACACATCGAATCTAACACCTCTAGGTACTCTGCGGCGTCTGGTACATGACCTCCATATCCTCGAACACCTCTTCAAAAGCAATCCTCACCGCCCTCCCTAAGCCTGTAACGCTTACAATCGTACAATTCGCCTTTGTCTCGGGGTGGTGTTTGTTTCTGGCTGCTCTTGCTCGGAGATACCCCCGCCTTAAGCACGTCATGCCCTTTCTGAAATACGGCATCCGGCCTCCCACACGAGAACTCATCATGACCACGCTCCCACTAGCCTTCTTCCAAGTTGGAGGACATATTCTGAGCTCCGACGCCACCCGCCGAATACCTGTATCACTCGTCCACACCATCAAGGGCCTCTCCCCCCTCATGACCGTCGCCGCATACCGAATCTTCTTCAAAATCGAGTACTCAATCCCCACCTACCTTTCCCTCATCCCTCTCACTCTAGGCGTCATCCTCGCTTGCTCCGCCGACTTCTCCGCCAACTTCATGGGCCTCGTCATGGCCTTCGCCTCCGCCGTCCTCTTCGTCACCCAAAACATCGTCTCCAAGCAAATCTTCAACGACGCAGCCGAGGCGGAAAAGGGAGGCCTCCCCCCAACCCGCTTCACCAAACCCGACAAACTGAATCTCCTCTGTTACTCCTCCGGCCTCGCCTTCCTCTTCACCCTCCCCCTCTGGCTCTGGTCCGAAGGCTTCGGCCTCATCAGCGACTTCCTCAACGACGCCTCCATCTCCCTCTCCGACAAACCCGGCGCCTACGACCACGGCCGTCTCGTCCTCGAGTTCCTCTTCAACGGCACCTTCCACTTTGGCCAAAACATCGTCGCCTTCGTGCTCCTCAGCATGGTCAGCCCCGTCACCTACTCGGTCGCGAGTCTCATTAAGCGCGTCTTCGTCATCGTCTTCGCGATCATCTGGTTCGGGAAACCGATGACGAATGTGCAGCTGGTGGGCTTCTTCCTGACGTTTGCGGGCTTGTATCTTTATGATAGGACGAGCGATGCGGCGAAGGCGGATAGGCGGGCCAGGTTGGCGCAGAGGAAGGGTCAGGGAACGTTGTTGCCGGTTTCTACGCAGGATAGGTTTCCTAGGCAGAACGGGTTTGTGACGAGTCCTGTGCCGATGGGAACGGGCGCGTATCCGATTGCCACGGGTGCGAGTGGGAATGGGAAGGTGGTGGAGCCGAGGGAGGAGAAGAGAAATGATGGCGATGCCAGTGGCGGGGGTAGTAAGAATCCCTCCTCTGGGTGGATGATGCCGGGTACGAAGCAGGAGGAGACGTGGAGGCCGAATGGGGCCTTGGGAAGGGGTCCGCCAGGTGCGGTGGGCGTTTCGTATGGGTAATTCTTGTGTGTATTATATTCTTCCTTTCTCTTTACTCTCTTATTTACTTGGTAGATTTTGGAAAACATGTAGGTGGTGCTGGTGATGATGATGAGGGTACTATATAACTATAGATGCATGGTATAGATTGAGGAGAGGGATATAAGGTCTTCATGAGCCGACAACACAGGGACGCTGGACGAGCAGTCGACAATCGATGTCTGAGAAACATATATAGTTATATGCAAATCTTATGTGCTGATGGGACATGCTACGCTCTTTTTGCTCGTATTTCCTCACGACCACGCTAAGTCCTGTCCTGGTCCAAAGGAACGATGATGTACTGCACATCATCAGCATCACCACCATCTATCACTATTCCCCTTCCTCTCCCCACGCATCTCCCATTCGTTCCACTTTTTGGCTTTTATCCACATATCTCCGGTTGCTCGAGATTCTAATCACGGCGCCGTCGACCCCGCTCCAACCTCCCCACTCGCCATTGTCGATCGACGTGAGCGTTTGGCTCAGCATGCCGTTCAAGAACTGCCCTCTTTTTCCGGCATGGCCATAAGTGTCCATAAATGCGGCCATTTATTTCCGTATTCTCCGGCTATGTCGACGCAACATCCAGGTTCCCCATTTGCTCTTGTAGAACTAGTCTTCCCCTCGTCTCGCATGATGGGTCATCTTCGATCATATTTATTTTAATCTCGCGGCTCCCTCAACATTTAGCTGGGATACATTTTGTTCTCATTTTTCGAAGCTGCGCCCCTTTCTTCCGAACATAACTGAAGCTTGAGACTCGTCCAATTTGCTTTTCTGGCCTTCGCCACCATGGGCGTGCGCGTCTCCACTTTGAAATCCCCATCGCCCGGGGGGCATACTGGTCTCTCATGTGGTGGTGGTGGCAATAACGCGAGGGTCCAGCCATTATGGCTGCCACTTCTTTTCCTTTTTGTTTGTCTTCATGTTTTGCTCCCTTAGTTGATATTGTGGAAACAGGGCTACGGCAGTCACATGGGCGGAGGCGGTTTTTTTGGCTGCGTTATTCACCTTTTGCCCTTCTCCGTTTCGGCCACGGGACATACGGGGTGTAATCGTCATTGTCTAGTAATTCCAGCAGTTCTGCATAACGAATGGGATGGATGGCACTTTATTGCTATTGGCGATTTTCTTTTAGCTGCGTTATCCTCCTTTCCCTGTCTGTTTTGGCGACGAGACACACGACACATAGAGGTCGTCGTTAACGAACTCTGGCAGTTCTCCAGAAAGTGTGGATGGCAGTCATATCGCCGTTGGCGAATTATTTTGGCTGGGTTTTTGCGGCGAAGATTCGCTTATCGGGACATGGCCGCCTGGTGTCAGCATTTTGGGTCTCGCTGGAGTGTTTAGGAACATAAAACCGTTCAATAACAGGTTTTAGGACACAGTATCTTTGAAGCGAGTTATGAGTGCTCGCTTTTGTAGGACTTGGAGGATACCTTTAACCCCTTTTGTCGTTTATGGTTTTTGAGAAGGAGTGTGAAGGTACGCATCAGCCCACTTCCAGTTGGTTTGGTTGTGCCTGGATTCTCCACATGATCTGCTGGAAACTTTGGCAAAGATTAGTCACTCCTTTCTCGGACATTTCTATTTCAGCGTGGGGTAATGAGTGTCCGCTTTTGTAGTATACGGGGTACATTTGACCGTCTCCATCGTCTTGGTTTTTGATGAGGAGTTTGAAGGCACGCATGGATGTGAGATCTCGGGAGTTTGGATGCGGTCATCCGTCATTGGGTCGAGGATCTAGGTTTTTCAACATAATCTCCATAGAAGGGCTTTTTGCGTCTACCCTAGGGAGCCAGAGACCCCGAAACTGCTCATTCCATCGTATCCTGTCGATTTTAGGTCCTTCGAAGAGAATGAGGAGTCCGATTTTCCAAACAATGGGACATAGGGGGAATGACTGCAAATTTCCGGTTGCATGCTTGGATTTTAAAAGTACCCATCTCTTTCTGCGCGACTGGTTTTTTGGTAAGGGCGAGAGCCCTCTTCCTCAGACATGCTTCGCATTGACTTGGAGTTTTCCGTTTGTCCCGGTGTCTCAGATTTTAGGTCCTTCTAAGAGAATGAGCGTGTGCGTCTCCAAACAATGGGACAGTGGAGAATGACTGCAAGTTTGCGGTTGCGTGCAAGGATTCTGAAAGTACTCATCCGTTTGCAGGTGAGCGATTTCTTGTCAACGGCTAGAGCCCTCTTCCTCGGACATGCTTCGCACTGACCCGGAGTTTCTGGTTTGTCCCTGTGTCTCAGAGATCGCTCATAATCTGGCATCACGAATGCTTCCGCGTACACCTACTGAGCAGCTAGAGACTTCCTTTCCAGACATCCATCAAGGCCCTGAACCTTTTCGAAAGACCCAAAGGAATTTGGAGGTCACACATCCGCTAGTCACTTGCATTTTCTTTTTTTTTTTTTTTTTTTTTTTTTTTTCCCGTTTCGCGAGCGAGTCACCGTCTGCCTCATAATTCCTTTGGACTGATGGTTACAGATTGGTGCAAACAGTCGGGAATCACATGTAGAGATTTTTGAGCCGTTTTTCACGGACTCTTTGCTGGTGCTTATCCGGACACATGATCTCCCGGATGTCTACCTTTGAGTTAAATCCAAAAAGATCAACCTTGGCGAAAGAAGTATAGCCTAGGAGGTTTTAGGAGTTTTGCAGGCGAGGATCTGGTTCCTTGACCATCGACTAGTTCGTCGCCAATTTCCTGTGCCGTCTCTCTTTGTGGGATGTGGAAGTTGGTTTCGACTAAGGGCGCTGTTGGATTTTGCGTGTGATGAGGACCTGCTTACCCAGACATAACACCTTCTCGGTGAGTTTTGATCTTAGACAGAAGCCTAGAAGTCGATCATGTTGCTGTCTGTTGTTGTTTTGAGCATGTTTCGCCGAATTTGTGTCTGCCGCGAGCGAGCGTCCAGTTTCTCAGACATGCTTGACGAATCTGGCGAGTTTTTTGGATCAATGCAAGTTTGAAACCGCTCATAAAATGGGGCGAGTTGCAAATTTGGCTCCGTGGTTGCGGTCATCGATGTGGATGTTCTAGATTTGTTTGACCGTTCGAGTATCTTTCTAATCGTACCCAGAGACTGGCAAGTCAGTCATTGACAGAATTTATCGCTGTTTGCTTGGAGTTTTTGTCTTTATGCCGCTTATCTTTTTCACATGCAAACGAGGATCTAACTTCCTAGGCATGGTTGCATATTGAGAATGATTCAGGATCCGTGCGAGCGGTTTAGGACCACTCATGCTATTGTTCTGGTGATTCTTGAGGTCCGTCATAAAAGGCGAGCGGAACTGCCGTTCCCCAGTCATGGCGAAAGAGCGCCTTCCTTGGTTCTATGGTACGACTCTGAAGTTTGTCATTACCAGGTTGGTACATTGGTTTAGAAGAGAGTTTTATCTAGAAGCGAGGAGGAGAGCCGGGTCGCTCAGACATGTTGGAAGTAAGCGATAGATTTGCAAGCTGCTTCAAGGAGTTTGGAACCGCATCATTGACGATGTAGTCGATCTTTAAGTTCCGTGGTCTTGGTCGAGAGGGTGCGTTGCAGGCATTTCCTGGATATCACGATGTCTTTTGTTTCATCCAGGGGCTTCGAAGTCGCCCGGTGCCGTCATAATCGAGCTTTGCAGGCGTTTCGCTAGTCGCAGGTGAGCAGGAGTGCTATTTGCCCAGGTTGTTCGTTGAGCACGCACATCTTCAGCGTCGAATACTGTGCATCGCTTTGATCAAATCGGTTGTCGACCCTCTCGCGCTCGCTATTTCTAATGCCGAGCCATTTCCTGAGTTTCGCGGTCGTGAGGTATGCCGTGAGTATCGGCGCGATAACAGTGGCTGCTGGACCGAAGGCCGCGGATTTTTCAGAATTACGGCAGCTTGCTCCTAAAGAACCGGGTTCCGGAGTCGCAGGTGAGGGAGTACTTTGTCCAACATATGTTGTTGCGCAACGCTTTAGCTGTATCCGATGGGGACTTCAGAGTCAATCATAACATCAGTCGGTGGAGAATTTTTTGGCTCTTTCCCAACCGGGCGAGAGTCCGGTTGTTGGGCACCATGAAGCCGCTCGCATATTTTGGGTTTCGAACTCTTGTGAGAAGGCTCATGCATTGAGCCTTTTAGGCTTTTTGGTGTTTTATTGCAAACCTGGGTTGCGTTCTAGATACGAGCTGTAGTAGCAAATATCCTAGTGGTATTTGAAGGCCCTTAGATTACTCATCAATTTCGATTGGGAACCTTTCAGCTTTCTTTTGCAAGTCCATTTGTGACTCCGCGAACATTCTGAATCTGTAGCCCTTCTGTAGTCAGGACATATCCCCTGTATTCGTGAGTCTTAGAAGAACACCATGAGGCGTTGGGTGATTGTAGATTTTGGATCCGGCTCCGCTGCTGGAAGGAAGTTTGTCTGTCTCAGTCGTAGCGGACCATGCTGGTGTTATTTTCGGTTCTAACTGACTGCTTCAGTACATGATGTCGTCCGTTCTGCAGTTTGAATATTTCCTTCACGCGGGGTCTATTGCTGTGCCCATCATTGAGGCTTAATGTGTATGAATCCATTTGCGTTTGCGGCTGCGTTCAGATTCCACATGATCATAGTGGCCGTCCCGAATATCTCTCCTCATGCCCCGGTCACCCCGGCGTTTCGGATTTCCGGCCCTCGGGTACTCCACAACGTTACGGGACCATTGTCTGATTTTATAACTTCTTCTAATCTCAGGCAGATAAACTGGAGGATGGGGATGCTACCATAGTGTTTTTATTTTTCTTTCTGTTCAACAGCTCCCACACATAGTCTCCTTCGAGGCGACTTTGAAATCTCCCTTCATCTTGCTGTTACTGCTGCTTGTGGGCTCTTTGCTCATTATCTGTACTCATCCTGCTGTTACTGCTGCTTGTGGGCTCTTTGCTCATTATCTGTACTCATCCTGCTGTTACTGCTGCTTGTAGGCTCTTTGCTCATTATCTGGACTGTTTCGTATTTTCGGGGATAAGTCCGCATTTCTAGTTCCTTTTCGATCCTCGTCAGGAGCTGGGAAGTGATAATGCAGGCCTTCTACGTGTGCTTGACATCTGGTCGAAGATACCCCTTTTGGAGAAAACGCAAAACAAAGAAGAGGTCAGTCTGTAGGAAATAGTCTCCACGAGATGTGTCAAACTTCAAAGCTCGCTGAGTCACTACATCGGTAGTCTTTCTCGAATTTTTGCTCTTCGTCGCTGTCCGCCCGCT